CCTTTTTTTTCTGAAAATTTTTGTACGAAAGTCGTAATAGTAGCCCCTTCGTAATACAAGCCCCCCCTAAAAATTTTGAACACTCGGACAGTTTAGAAGCCCCGGAGGCTTCTATTATGGGGGGGGGGTTATGTAAAATAATATACTATCGGTAACGATATATAAATCTCAAAGAAGCTTGCTCGTAGGATAAAATGTCACTAAGTTTTGAGTGAACTATTATTAATATACCATAGCTCACTATTGTTTAGTTTTGGCTTCTAGTACAAACGTATCCATGCCGTATCATCATTTCCAACAATAATACATTTCAACGTTTTTTCTATAAATAATCTGTCGGTCAAGTAGTTCTAGACCATAATTAGAGAAACTACAGAGTTGTACATGTTTTATCAATATAATAAATTATTCTAACTTATTCTAACCATGTAATGATTAATCAAAAATAGAGAGATAGACTTTAGTATTTGAATCTCTCTAGCTTATTTATAATTTTAGTACAAACTTGATTAGAAGTCTTATATGTAAAGAAAGCTAGTTTTTCTAAAGTGTTATTGCAGTTGTTAATGGAACTTTTGTGGCTTATTTTTTTGAAGGAAATAGCTTTTATATTTTGTATAAACTTCAACTTTAGTATAAGAATTAACTCTCGAGATCGAAGACTACATCAAGATAAAAAGTGTGACTGACTATAGATATCCTCTTAAATTTCTCATCATCAACAAGCGAGACCACTACTAAAAATTATTTTTATTTATTGGTAGTGTTGGTTGAGTAACTCTCATATGACCGTAGATATTAGACCGTCAAAAAATTGAGTATTTTTGTTAATATTTACAGCATTTTCGATGTAACTCTGGCAAAGGAGGGAGAAAGATTCCAGTGAGTAACGTAGCTATGTTTCATTTACTAAAGTCAATCTAACAAAACAACAGTAGGGTTACTCACGATCTTGTAGTGCTCAAAAAAACTGACTTATGCAACGGGTGCATCTTCATCATGCTACGTACTTGAAAAAAAAAAATTTTTTTAACATATATCGTAACCTTTACTATCGAACAAATCAGATTTTATCTGAGCAACTTTTTTAAGAGAGGAATTCACCTTACTGCTAATCGAAATCGCTGAAAATATTTATTTACATTTGCTATTGTTGTTTCTCATAAATGGGACTAAAGTGAAAAAGAGATTGTAAAAAATATGTCATCAAAGAACCAGTGATTAACACGAGCAGGTTTTACTTCTACACGAAATAGAAAAAATGAAAATTTCTTTATAAACAGACGGTTTATTCATGTTCAAAAATAAATATAATTAATATTTTTTAAATTTTGGGTTCTTACTGTCTTATTCCGATCAATTAAGTAATTCAAACCTGAATATGCTTTTCAAATTATTTTCGTATTTTTTCTTTTTGTTATCAACTATACGACCTGACCTGATCATGACTTTTTTCTCTGAAATATTTATTTTCGACACAAAAGAAGCAAACAAATGCTCATGAAACGAGAAAGAATAAATATTTGCAGGGCGATAATAAAACATCTCCATGTTATCATGATTTTAACGAAAGGCGAAAATGTACTTACGATTAAAATGTATGCAAACAAATAAAATGAATGTTTACAAGTTAACTCATTTTGATAAGTATTTTTATAGACAGAAAAAAATAGTATGAGATTATCATTTAAAAAGAATTTGTCTTATGACTAATGCACACATTTTTTACATACTAAAAACAAGAAGTAGACTGATACACGAGGTATACAAAAGCTATTTTAGATACTACATTCCATATCGTAGTCGATTTTACGCAAAAAAAAGCTATTTGATATTTAAGATTCGTGAACGATTGTTGTCAATATACTTTTTTCCACTATCCGAATGTTAGCAAGCACAACTTGGTACAACACTAAATACATACAAGTGGGCACACGGTTTACTTAAGATATTGTTTATCACATTAACATCATTAAATGTGCCTCTATTAGCCTATTATTAGTTATTCACAAATGAATTTTGTTCAACAGATTGCCACAAATGGTTCGTCACTCCGATAGAAGTCTCCGCTAGTTCATTCGTTTTGCTCTTTTAGCATAGTTTGTTTATTAGTGAAACAGCGCGAGAGAAAAAAAGAACACAAGAACAATCAAAAGCACACAAAAAAACAGAAGAGGATAGTTTGTGTGTGCACATTCTATAGACCACCAGAGTGAGATTACAAAAAAAGAAAAAATGGATAACGCACACGAATTTATGCACGTTTATTGACTTTAAAAGAGAAAGAGAGAGAGAGAGAGAGAGAGAGAGAGAGAAACACCAGTCCTACAACATACCACAAAAGATCGACATTTTTATAATCCTAACCGTATATCCCAACAAAGTAAAAGTAAACAAAGAACAAACAAACAAAAAAAAATGAATAAGATTAAAAAGTAGTAATAGTATAGAATAAATCATATACTAGAAGGAAAATTAAATTATAATAATACTATAGAGGACAAAAGACAAAAAAAAGAAAACACGCTGTGAATTATAATTGTATACACAATTGGTAAACAGATAAGAGCATGCATATATATATATATATATTTAAATGTTCCTACTTGCACATCATCACATCCGTTTAATTGAAATCTATGAAGAGGAAGAAAACAAGCGCTAACTAAAATTGATGATGGCACACCACACACATCTGCAAAGATCTGGTAAGATAGATGTCAGACTAAATGGACGTATGGATAATTCAACAGTGTTCTAACATTGATAAATCTAAGAATAAAATTGTATCGAATTTGGTGATATTCTACCTCACGATGGTTAAAACAACGGTTGATGACATAATCATTAATTTAGTAGAAACAAACGAAATGAACAAGAAAATATTGAAGATATACGTGGATACATAAAAGGACACTGATAAAGCCTATATATATATATATATATAGAATACGTGTAGAATAATAATCGTAGAAGAATGTCTCTGTTGTGTTTATAAAAATTAGAAAAAACAACAGAAGAAACGAATATGAATAAAATTAAACACGCAACGTATCTTTGGGATAATTCATTAAAAATACATAAGAAATTCTTCATATTTGTGTTTACAATAATAAACAAGTAGATTTTTTCAATTTTTTTGGTGGTTCTAATGCGGCTAATATTGCTTCATCGAACACATTTTTTAAACCCTTCTAAAAGTGAAATAAAACAACAATTATAATATTAGATGCATTAAATAAAATACTCTAGTTCACATTATGGCCACTGTTAACGATTAAACTCGTTTTCTATTGAAAAATTATATGATATAAAGCATAAGACTATTGTAGTGATAAATTTAAATAGATACCTGTGTTAAAGCTGAACATTCAACATATTTAACCGCTCTTAATTCTCGTGCTAATTTATCCCCTTGGTCCGATGTAATTGGTTTTTGTCTTGATTTTTGTAATTTATCCATTGTTTGCGGATCTTCACGTAAATCAATTTGTGTTCCAACAATTAGAAATGGTGTTTTCGAACAGTGATGAGCGACCTCAGGAATCCACTACAAAATCAAACAAAAAACAAATCAATTAAAACTATAATCTTAGAAGTGAACTATTAGCCTAATTCAGTGAATTCTAACAGAAAAAACTAATTAAAAAACAAAAGATTTGTTCGGCAGCATTATGATCGATACTCAAATCTATTTTAAAATAGTGAAAAAATTACTTTTTCTCGGACGTTTTCGTATGATGATGGCGATACAACACTAAAACAAACCAAAAACACATCTGTTTGAGGATAAGATAATGGTCGTAAACGGTCATAATCTTCTTGTCCGGCTAAAAAGAAAATAGATAAAACAACATTAGACATCTCGAAATAAAAAGAAGATCGTTAGCATCATCCAATATTCAGAAACCATGGAAAATTCTTTTTTTACTCCTCGATTTTACAAAATGATCCCATCAAAAAGCAAATACATTTAACGTTTTCCTCCGTCATTCTATTTTTAAACTCAATTTTCTTTAAACTTAATAAATTTGCTTTGTAATCGCTTTTTAACTGACCAAACTCTAAATTTTCAAGGTTTGGCTGTCTCTGTAATTAAAAAGCGATTTTATATAGTTTTATGATTTTCTTATCAGTTTGTGAATGTTGCATTAACAGAATGTAGATGATGGACTTATTTAAATCATCCAGGGTACTTTTATACTAGACATTTTCTGTATAAAATAAATGCTAACATACCAGTATCAAAAAGACCTAATGTGTATGGTTCACCTCCAATCATAACTGTTACGGCATAATTATCAAATACCTAAACAATAGAAAAATGAAAAGAAGTATACATCAAGTGATGCGAAGAAATTATGAAAAAAGGAAGAAGAAACAATACTCCGCCTTTTGGCTACCTTGCAGTACCAGGTCCTGTCCGGAGATAGGTTCGTAAGAGCGATATCTTCCCTACAACTAATACTAGCTGTAGCTCTGGACAGAAGGCCAGCCTGACTCAGAGTTCTTTCGCTCAATCGCTTGAGCTTCCCGTACACACTGACTAACCATATACTAGCTACGAGGGCTGGTGTATGTCACAACGTAGTCAGCATGCTATCGGACGGGTGATCCGAGGCAAACAAACTTTAATGACTTGCCCAGGGTCATTCCATGCCTGGCGGTGCCGAGACTCGAACACAGTACCTTCGGGGTACGTGCCAAACAACTTAACCACACAGCCATAGTGGTCAATTATGGAAAAGGCACTTACAGTTGGAACATATTCACTTGGAAATTTGTTTGTTGTATACGATATTAATAAGCATGTTTTACCAACAGCACTAGAAAGAGGAAAAACAAAATGATGACAGGTTAATTCGAAGAAAAAACTCGTATAAATTAATTACCCGTCTCCGACGACAACACATTTTATTGTTTGCATTGCTATTTAAAAAAATGGGCAGAAATAAAAATGAAAGAACAAAATATAAATTTAAAAACTATCTAAATCAAAGGTTAGATAAATAGCAAAGACAAATATTCAAAAAATATTTCACTAGAGAAAACTAAATACAGAACCAGAACGATATAAATGAATTTGCAATATATTGATAAAACAATAAGAGTAACAGAACTCATTATAGACTATCACCTTTGACAGGCTTTTCAGTGTAGTATTGTGGTTTTACCAATTAATTCTGATTATATTACACTCAAAGATCTATGCTTGACTCACTCCTCCTGTTCTGACTTTGCCAGTTACGAAGCATCACACAAAAGAAGACAGAAAGCCAACATCCACATATCTTGCTTTCATTTATTGACTGTGAGCAATAATAAAGCACATGATCTAGAAACTTGAGTCATATACACCTATTTGTAATAGTTCTCAAGGATTCTATTGAAAAGCGAATGTATCTTTAAGTTTAACAGGAATTTTATTCAAAAATATTTCATGAAATATGTGCACATAATCGTCGCTTTGCCATCAGTGCATTTTCAAGTTTTAATGCAGAAGCTTTTTATCTTTAAGGAGTAATTATAAAGTGCTTGTGCAATCAAAGAAGGTGGCGCCATGAATTGGGTAAGTTGCTGCCTAAATAAAACAAACTTATTTCAATACAAAAATCATTTAATGAAGAAATGTTGATAAACCTAATCATAAATAAAAAAAAATTTATTATTCTATTTCATTGCGTTTTTCCACTACATAATGATTTTCAAATGCGTTTTCCATGAGATGATATGATGTGCACGCGTAGAACTGTCACGTCAAGAATTCTACTGAAGACAAATGGATCACATGTGCATTCTCTACTGAAGGTCATCCTATTTATCTATTATATCTCTGACGGCAACCCTTCACTTGAAAAATAATTTATAAGAATTAATGCGCTCTTTTGCATGAGGATAATTTACCGATAAAGTTAAAGTAAAACTAGCGATAGTTAACAAATACTACTCATGTTTCTCAAATAAAAATCGGATATGAATCGATCTAATCAGACGGGAAAAATTGAGAAGTCAACTTTCCAATAGATTTCCGTCTATTTTTATTTTTGACTAATAGTACTTTTCTAATTAACAAACTGGTAAACAGCATGAAAAAAATTCATCTCAATATTGACAACTAAAAGAGAAAACAGATATCATCTTCCAGCTGTTTTCTTAGTAAATGTGGGACACGTGCCACTGGTTAGATCCACTTTGGCAGTTGAATTTTTTTCATTTTTTATAACAGCTTTAAGTGAATAAATTGTATATCTTAGCAAATATACAGAATTTGAATTGTTTATATTTCTAGATTCATTTTTTTTTTATCTATGTCTCTTTAATTGAATCACATCATGAACGATACAGATTCTGTAGATATGTCAAGTGGTGAAGAATCTGAATCCATTGATCTAATCGGGTCTAATTTAAATGAAAGAATGTCAGTTAGTCTTGAGATGCGAGTGGTACCGAGTGATGTACCTATATCAGAAGAATTATCACAATTTGACAGTAGTAGATTTGCACAAGTAAGAATTTTCTGGTTTTACATATTAACATTAATATGAGTCAATTTCTCATGTTATTAGGAATTATTTTTAAAAGCTGGTACACATGATTTTGAAACATGTCTTCATCAACACTGGCGTCATTATGTACCCTTGTGTTATACATATCATTCAAATCTTGTCGAAGGCATGATGGAATTAAATGCAGAATCTATTCTGTTTCGACCCTTAGAAATATTTTTATATGGAAACGAAGATATGGAGAATGCAGTGCAAACAATTACAGCACTGAATAATCCTCCAACAGTTTGTGGACATTTGTTTAAACCAGAAGAACCAACGTATTTTTGTCGGTCAGTACTGTTGAATATAAAGAACGGTTTACTTTACGTATTGCTCAACAAAATAGATTGTCTAACGATCACACAAAGAATTCTAATTAATATTCTTATGTTGTTTTAGAGATTGTTGCGTAGATTCTACCTGTGTATTGTGTACAGAATGTTTTTTACAAAGTGAACATCGAAAACATCGATATAAAGTAATGTTATCTACTTTTTCCTGCTCGCTTTTTTGTGGTACTAAAGTTGATTTTATTTCTTCTATAGATGAGTATGTCAGGTGGTGGTGGCTATTGTGATTGTGGTGATAAGGAAGCATGGAAACAAGATGTTCATTGTAATTTACATAAACCAAGTATCAACCAAGAACAAGATAATGATAATATTCTTGAACGTTTACCAATTCAATTGAAAAATCGTGCAAGACAATTATTTGAAGTATTATTTAATTTTAGTATTCAATTATTATGTTGTGAAGCTTATGAAAATATACCAACGACACTAAGAGAAGTGTACTCATCTATCTATTTTTTGTATTTTTAAAAATTCTAAGAACTTTTGTATTCTTCTAGTGTTCAAATTGATATCGATAATCAATATGTGACAATGGTATTTAATGATGAAATTCATACGTACGATCAAGTTATATCGGTTTTAACTCAGTCAATTTTCTGTTCAAAACAAGAAGGTCGTGAATATGCATCCACTGTCGATCGTGAAGGACGATCAGCAGTCAAATGTGGAAATTTTGAACAATGTCTCGAAGTAAAACAAATGATATTACAAAAAACAGTTGATGTACCACTCAAATGTTTAGTCTATTCGAAACGTTTTGTATCATTGCAATATTTTGCACAAAAGTTAATATTATATATGCAAAAAATCATTGCTATTTCGAATGGATTTCGACAACTATTTTGTCAATGTGAAATGAGTGTAAATAATCAATCAACATTGACCGAAAGAGTTTTATTATCAGAAAATATTTTATGGAAAAGTAAGTTGTAAATTTGAACAAACTGAGCAATTTATACCGTACTGTGTTTTTATTAAGGTGCAAGGACAGTATTACAACAAATATTTATGAATAGGTAAGCATAAATAAAACTAACATTGACGGATAACATAGAATGATGTAAAGGCTCTTTAAGAAATGCCCGTTTGTTCATATGGTGAGTAATTTAACTGTAAAAGATTTTGCTAATACTAAAACAAACTGATGGCAAAAACTGAAATAAACAGTTAGCTATTTTTTTATATTTGCTAGTGTTAAGGTTTGTGCATTTATCTTTTCTTGTAAAGCCAGTATTAGGAGAACAGTATCACTCTAAGACTCATGGTACCATACTATTATCGCAAAGCTCTGAGTTTAAAAGATCCTTCAAGTTTTAGTCTTCGAATAATTCAACTACTATGGTTATTGTTTCTATTTATTTTAGTTTCTTTATGGATTCTGAATGGAAAAAAGCGTTTGCCATTTTATATATAAAGGTAAAAGTCTGTTTATAAATAGAAATATTTGAGAGAGGGAAAGAGAAAGTACATTTGGATCGAAAAAGGTTTTTAATATTATTTAACAACAAGCTAAGATTATGTTAAAGATCATGATAATTATATTTCATTTTCCAATTTTCAGTATAAGTTTATATCGCTCCGAGTTTGGTAATTATTATTTACATATGTAAATAAGAGATATTGACGAGAAGGCCTATTTTGTCTTTTAAATTGATTAATTAATTTTATCTTCTCTCATCTTAGAAACCAACCTTAAAATACGCTTATTTTATTTTTCTAGTGTTATAAAAATATTGTATCTTATTTTCATAACGATCTTACCGTGGAATCACGTGCAGATTCCTTTTTAAAATTTTCGGTACAATTATTTACAACAGGTAGTCTCGTAAGTAAATTAAAGAAAAACAGAAAAGTGTCTATATTACATCTAATAAAATAGCTCGTCTCTCATTCGTTTATTATGTGGAGTAAACATAAATCAAGTCGAATATGATTTATTTTATTTAGGCAAGATATTTAATTTCATTTCACAATGCATTTCAAATAATTGTTGATGCATTTCTCAAATATTGTGAGCAAAAATTAAATCGTATGTGCAAAGCATATATTTTGTACTCTGCTAGTGATGTAATCAACAATATTTACTTTTTAAGCTCAAGGAAAATTATTATTTCTTCGTATAACGACGCCAATGACTCAAAGTGAATTTCGTCGAGCACAATCGATACTCTACGATTTAAAGTGAGATTAGAATCAACATAATGGAGAAAGATTTTCAGTTCTGTTGTATTTTCTCGTTCAGATATCTTTTAGGTATTGTACCAACTCAGTACACACAAGGCTTACGTGAACATTTTTTGAACGGCTTTCGGTCATTCTTACAACTTTTATCGTATATGCATGTATGTAGAGCAATAAATACTTTTATGTATATGGAGTAGTATATTTCTATTCGTCAAAGCTCACACACTCTTTCGGTATTGTTATTCTTCTTTTTATACTATCATTGGAAACACAGTCGCTTTTCCGCTTATATTTTAATAGAATAAAACTTATATCAACACAGTCGAGATTGTGTAGTTTATCTTTTGCTGTTTTTTTCTTTAGGGTATGGACAAAGTCGTACGGCAAGTTGGTCAACATATTGAATTTGAACCGGAGTGGGAAACTGGTTTTAACATTTTTATTAAAATTCAGCTGATAATTCAATCGATTTTAGATTGGTGTTCGAACGATGTAAACCAATTTCCAGTTCTTCATGCTATTTCATGTTTATTCTTCTGTACTCTTTTTTTAAGGCTGAACTTTTAAAACAAGCTTATCTGTTAACTGGCGAAACACTATCATTAATTCAACAAAAAACGGATGTTTCACATATGTTGAAAAAAGATGCATTACCAATAGTCAAAATAAATGGTAAACATTTAATGAAATCTTTATTGAGATTAAGATAAAATAAAATCGTTCATTTATTGGCTCTAATTCTATTTTAAAACTGCTACGATAAACTAATTTAGCCTATATTGAAACTGTTTTTTTTGTATCATCTAACCTTGTTTGTATTTTACAATCACTTTCTAGTCCATGAATATAAGATTGATTGTTACTTGTACGATGTTCAAAAAGATCCAATCTCTGTACATATCCCTGTTACTCGTTTACTTGCTGGTAAGAGAAATATATTCGCATCAAAATATTGAAATTGAATTACAGAGAGGAACGTCATACATATTTCTAGCACTTTACATTCATTTACAACGATATACTAATTCAACGATTGAATTTCAAAATTTGGTAAGAGTCGCTTCATTATCTTTTTGCTTTGCTACGTAGAACTATGCGTTCTCCATTCATTATTTTGTTTTAGTGTGAAAAGTACAAGATTTATCGATGTTTTTTCTATGAAGAACCTCTACGTATCCAAGTATTATCTGCTCAACATGCTGCTGGTATATGGAGACGAAATGGTTATTCATTATCGAATCAAGTATGCCTTTTTTACATTTTTTTTCACTGTATTATTCTCTTCTCGTTTGTTTAGCTTTATTTTTATAGTAATATCAAATGTCGTAAAGAAATGTATGATAGAGATATATTAGCGTTACAAATTGGTGCCTCATTAACACCTCCTGACGTGTATCTGATACAATTATTATATAAATTTGGACTATTGGAATGGGTTAGGTATGAAATCTATTAAGACAAGATGTGTCTGGTAAGTGTTTCGTTTTCTTATTTAGATCTCCGGAAAATGGTCGTTCAACAGAAACCGATACAAAAACATATGAAAAAGTCCGTATTATGGAAGAATTTTTACACCTGTTATTAATAATAATTGTTGAACGCTATGAACCGTTTGTTGGCCAAGTGACAAAAGAAGAAAAACTAAAACGTGAAGTTTTACATCAGTTATGTACTGCGCCAATGACACACAGTGATTTAGTTCGAAATTTTACAGATTCTGGACAAGAACTAGTAAGAACAACAGTAATTAGTACATGTTTAACACTAAGTCTGGTATCCTATGTCCTTTTCTAGGAAACAGTTGCTCTGGAAATAGTATTAAAGGAAATTGCTGATTTCAAGTAAGCAAACCTCCGTATTCTTTCTGCTAATAATGACTGAACAACATCAGACGGATAAAGCAATTGTAACGTCTTTTTTTGCTTTTAGAAAGTTATCTCAGTCGTCAAGAGGCAATTATGAGTTGAAAAACGATTGTCTAAAATATTATAATCCGTTTTATTATCATTATACAAAAGCTGATCAATGCAAAGTGAGTGTTTTTTTTATTATACCATTCAAAATATTAATTAATTCGCGTCTATTATAGTCTGAAGAATACGTATTGAAACGTCGTAAAGCTCTTGGATTATCTTCGTTACTATTAATCCCATCTCTACCCTCATTCTGTGATTCATTTCAATCTGTTATTCAATTGTTACAATGTGACATATTTTTGACATTAGTCACAGCCGTTCTTTATCGAACAATCGATCAAAAAGCTGAATTATGGTCTGAAGCGATTCTAATACGAGTAAGGATTGTCTCAAAGCTAATAATTTGATCTTACGGTATAATTGGCACAGTAATTCTGTTCCATACTATTCGCTAGACTTACCGAGTTTTTATGAAGACTTGTGCAACTGGTTTTGAAATCAGAGCTGGAATTAATGACATATGTTCTAAATGATCTTTTATCCTTCAGATATTGCATTTAATTTGTTTGGCTTTGTTTGAACAAGAGGATTCGGTTGGAAAACAACAAACAACATCAACAGCTATGCCGTCTGAAAAGTTTCAATTTTACGAAAATAGTCAAAAATATAAAATTGAAAAATTATTAGTACAAATAACAACGGCAACTAAAGCTGATGCTTGTGAAGCGTTAGTGTCACATGTTTTGAAGGTAAAATATGATAATTCAATTTTCGACTCTATTACATATCTATCTTTACAGGTTTTTTGCACTTTAAAGACTTTTTTTAATACAGTTGCATGTAACCATATGCTTCATTGTGATGTTTTAGTTATTTAGTAAATATAATGAAGAAGAGAATACAAAAAATGAACAATCAATGTCATCAACTGTTAGTCAAGATCTATCGAATGATACTAATAAAGAGAAACAAAATGGAAACAGGCGTAAAGAGTTAATAGCACAAAAACAAGCAAAAATCATGGCCAAAATGACGGCATTGCAACGAGTTTTCATAAAAGAAAATAAAGATCTGTTTCCTGAAGAAAAGCTATCCATGGATTTTGATTCACTATCTCCAACCACACCATCATCGAGTTCTACAACAACCCACGATTTACTAACATCAGAATTAGATACGACAGCAAACCAAATGGATACAAGGTAAAGAAATAATGAGTGTTTTATATGCAAACTAGAGCGTTCCATTATATCAGTTAGTCTCATCATCAATCTAAAGACGATACGTACCATGGTTGCTAGTGTTCCACGAGAGTTTTCTGCAAGAATACGACACATTTATGTTACGTAAGCAAGACAGATCGAAATTTACAGAAGAGATTCAACAGCAAAAATGATCTTTACTCTTTCCCGTTTTCTTTTTTTACTAAACTAGACCGCTATTATGAAACTTTTCTTTAATTTTCTACTTTTTAGTCCTTGTCAAATTTCTCAACCATATTTGGGTACAATCTATTTGGACTCGTCAGTTCAAACAAAACAGACATTAACTTGTATATTTTGTCAAGAAAACTCGGAATTAAAACTTAATTCAGATACCATCGTTATATCGGCTTATGTACAAAGGTAGAAGCATTTATCCATTATCCAAGTTTCAAATATTGTTGCATATTTATTCAACAAAAAAAAAAGCTTGTGTAATCACCTTGCGTGCATATAATTGTCAGCTTAAATTATTTTCTTTATAGTTCTCGTGTATTATCTAAAAATCGTTCACAAAAAATTGAAAATCCTGATACATTTGATCCAACATTTATGTCAAATGATTTATATTGGGGTGTTCATGTATCATCGTGCGGTCATCCTATTCATGCCTCATGTTGGATGAAGTACGTAGTCTAATATCACATACTAAATTTATTTATCCTCTCGTTCATTTCTTCTAGATATCATGATTCTGTATTACTACAAAGTCAACGTCTTGCATTACGAACGCGTGGTGCAACAAATTATGATATTGAAATGGGTGAATTTTTATGTCCATTATGTCAAACATTGAGTAATACTGTTATACCTTTACTGCCATCTTTACGTACATTTACTAATGAAACTAAATCCGTCTCATCTCAACTGTCTTATAAAGATTGGCTAGATGGACTAGAAAAAGCACTCAATAGTAGTATTGAGTCACCGTGTGAAGATAAAAGTCATAAGGAACAAATATTTTTTAATCTGTGTTCATTATTAAACGTAACAAAAATAATGAATGAAACGGTGGCACTCAATTTTCAGTTATTGTTTGAAACTACTAAAAATTTAAGGTAAGAATTACGTTTAAAAAATGAAACTTGCAACCATTTTTAACTGTCGGTTTAGATTACAAGAATTTTCCGACAGTATGCGAGAACGAATAAGTCTATTTGCCAGAAACGTTTATGTGGTAGGTACGATTTTACGTCAGAGATTATTAGAGATTTAGGATTTGTAAAATATGAAATGAAACTGAGTAGCGTAACGTTTTTTTACGTGTATCCCATCAATAATACGAACTCGCTCAGATTATTTCACAATTTTAATTCTTTGATCTATAATTTTTTGATGTTCGACAAGTGTGAAATTTTCTCTTTAAATTTAGTTTGGTTTGAATGTTAATCCAGATGATCGTAACGATCGAGTACCGACGATACTGTGGACATCATGTGCTTATACTATACAAACGATTGGTAAGCTCAATTATTTTTTTTTATTACCTTTTGGATTATTCATCTACATGTTTGTTGTAGAAAATCTATTACGAATTGATTCAAAATCAATTTTGAAATCATTATCATTAGGACAAACAGAATTAATTTCATCATTAGTCAAGGTATCAGCTGTCTACGGTCTGTTACATAATATTGATAAAGCAAAAATACATTGTCTCAAACTTCTATCAGGTAGTGTTACTGAACAAATAATAGAGCGAAGATTAGTCAAGTTTTGTTGTTTTATAGTGTTACTACCATCTCCAGCTCGTTTACAAGTTCCATCATTGGCCAACGTCGATTTATTTCATTTACTTGTTTCACTCTGTTTCACACTTCCCATATTGTTTATAGATGGAGTACCTCAATTTATCCATGTAGCTAATGGCAATTTAAATGATTTATATTTGATGCGTCTAATATTAACAGCACATTGTTTACAAATATTATCTAGTCACAATTTTATTTATGAACAAGAACAAAGTAAGACAATCATACGATCATTTAGATAGTCGATAAAGTAGATTAAATATATTTATACTGTTAAAAAAGATTATTTTGCGAGACAGGTATATTTAAACATTTTTATTTATATTTTAGACATCTCTGAATTTTCAAGCAGTAATATTAAATATGATGATGATGGCAATAGTGTAGAAGTCGAAGCAATCAAAAATGTTGTACAAAAGATTATTCAATCTCAAAAGTGGGTATTCATTTGAATTAGTTATAAAAAGTATTTGATCAAATTCATCCGTTATTGTGTTGAAAAATGTAGTTAATTTGAAGTGCAAGGTGTATAGTTTAAGTTCTTTATTAGAACATAGTTTAGAAAAAGAAAAATCTTGATTTGTACAAAAGTATATAATAGGAGACTTGAACAACTGTTAGTCTAACTTAGTTTTCAAAAATATAAAGGATTTGCTTAACGTCTCTATAAGATTTAAGAGATTGAAGAATAGTATATGTACATACGATAGTGTTACAGGTATATTGGATGACATTGACCAATGAAATTGATAAATGATTTGATAGTATAATTTTGAGTTATTGTAGACGATTATATGTATAAATACAAAAATTTTCTTATGCAAATCCCAACTAAGGCTTATTTTCTTTCTATCTTAATTGACTTAATATTTAAATATTAATTTGATTATTGAGTCTCTATTATCATTTTATCAAGTATTTTAAATATAAGAAATGAATAATTCTATTTTTCTCCTGTTCATGTGCCCACCTATAGTACATTTTGGGGTCTCATTATAGATCAAGAAAGTTTTTCAGAGAATCAAAATAAGTATAAATAAACAAACAAACTTGTTTTTTAGAGTATACACACACACACTCAAACACTTATTTTTAATGTAGGGCTTACGAATACGTTGATTAATTATTATTGAAAGCTTAATCGTATTTTGTACGTATTTAATAGATCAACCTAGTTCAGTTAACTACTAAATATTGTTAATGTTGGAATAGCTGACAGTAGTTTGTTATAAAACGAGCTAGAAAATAATGTATGCTGATGATCATGACAAATATGATTATTCTTTTCTTAGTGTTCATTTTTGTTATTTATTCAATATAGTGTGAAGTATTTCTTGTTCGTTTTGCTTAGTTCTATTTTGTTCTTAACAGCGAGAAAGTTTATAAAAAAAGTAATGTTTGTTCGATAATTTGTTCACTTCCTAAATAATACCATCATTGATTGTTCAAAATAGAATCTTTTGGCACAGGATTATTAAATCTGCTTCAATTTTTCATGGTTCGTGTGCGTCACTAATACTACTAGTTAGGATGAAAACTATAGCAAAACTAATGATTGTGTGAGCATAGTGTACGTTGATAGCACTATTTTACGATATAAGACGCAGGTAAAGAAAAAAACTACTTAAGAAAGATTGTAAAGTGAAGTTGCTGAAGAATTATCCTTATACTTCAAGTATTTTTAGGAACCAGTCTTATCAAACTCCTTCACAACGTCTATTATCTGGTCGTGCATTATGTGAAAAACTAAAATTAGCGTTATTACCATTATTAAGATGTTCAGCATTGTTCTATCATCATTTAACTGATACAGCGTGGCCAACAGTAACATCTGATACAGGTAAGCTAAAAAGACTATTATTTGGCGAAAATTAAAAATTTGATTTGTATTATTTCTTCTAGCTTCATTCGATCCGTCCACGGAATATACAATAATTTGTCAGTATCTTGGTCTTCCAAAATGTTTATCAAAAATTTTAAATCAAAATGATCATAATAATTTAAACGATTTACTTAATAGGTAATTATTTTGTACATCAGAATTGTCATTATACCTTCGATGACTAAACAAATTTTTAAAAGAAACAATCACATTTATCAAATTACATAATTTTTTCGTTAATTATTTTAGTTTGACTAGTCTAAGTGTTGCTCCTTTACATAATCAAACAAATCCTGTCTCAATACTCACGTATCCGATCAAAACCAATGAACTCTATCATTTGCCCAAAGAATATATTGATGTGATGAATCAAGTATCACAATAGTAGGACACTAATTTCATCTTACACTAACAATCTTCTGCTGATGTATCAATTATTTCAATGTTTTTTGTTTTAGTGCCGCTCCATATACATATGCACGAGATGAAACACGATCACCATGTATATGTTTAATATGTGGTGAAATTGTTGTTCGTAAATCTCAAACGTCTATATTTTCATCATTGCTAACTAGTTACCAAGAGTCAAAGCTTGGTACATGTTATCTGCATACACTACAATGTTGTGGACCGGTTGGTTTATACTTACGTATTAAAGAATGTTCATTGTTACTAATACATATTACGGACAATGGAAGAGCAAACAAAGCTCGAGGAACATTAATTCCGGCGCCATATATCGATGATTATGGAGAAACAGATCAAGGTTTAAGGTGAGAGAACATATGAAGCCTCGTCATATTACTGACAAACATAGTTTCAGTGTGGGGATTGAACTTTTCTATTAAAAATAGATAGTAAACATACGTTTGTATTTTCAGACGTGGTAATCCGTTACATTTATGTGAGGAACGTTATCGTTTATTATATAAACGCTGGTTATCGCATACATTTACTGAAGATATTTCACGTAGTATGGAATTAAATACGTCTATCTATGCAACGATTTGGAATCTGTTTTAATTCATACTGTTCGTTTCTCATGACATTTGGTTTTCATTCTTTTTTTTCTTCCTAATTTAATTCGTTTATTTTTTTAACCTTTTAGTGGTGTGTAGTTTGAAAGACAAAATTCATTCTTTTATTTCTACTTCTCATCTCATTCATCATCATTCAACACTACTTTTAAAACACGTTGATGGTAAACACTACAAATAACGGTAGATAGCACATGTTAACACTACATAATGCCGATAGATAGCAGATTAATCCCTTCGAAATTATTGTGCTCATATCACATCTAAATATTTTTTATTTAATGTGATTTCTGTTTTGTAATTTATTTGTTCTCTCTCAAACTCGTTTATTTTTTTGTATATTTAACTTTTACTTGATTAAATAGACATAATGATGAGAGTTTAAAAGAAAAGTGTTGAAGTTCTGTTATCTCGCAGAATATTAATCTCAAATCACTCTGAGATACCAGTTTGATCGTATTACTCTTACGAGGGAGCTACCCGAGGTCATAAATTGATTTCGGGTTAAGACTATTTTCTTTAGAAAGGCCCTAACGAGTAGTGAAATGCCTCCACTTGGTTCATCCTCATGGTGCTTTGCTGCTGAGATACTAAATTTTTAGTCAGTTTTTGCCTACAGAGCTTGGATTTCGAGCAAAATCCGACTTTCGAATTTTGATTTCAAACTTGCCACACTTGCAGCCCATGATCATAGTAGTACGACAGAAAAATATTCGGTGCTAATGAATTTTTCTGCCTTGAGATATTGAGACTCGAATATTTGACTCTCATCCTTATCTTCTGATGTCTATCTTTCAAAACACTTAACTCTGGTGGTCGGACTCTTGTAGCGTGACTCTTGTGGTCGGATAGTGAATCCCAGATACCATACGAAACCTAAAGAGTGTAGAAATGGTTGAAATTCTCTGTACTCTTTTAGGGGGACAAATACACTTATTACACCCCCCTCATATATCGACTATTTCAGTTTAAATAGCCTCTGCGGAGTTCACTGAGTGCATTCTTAACAGTCTCTGATCGATAGATCAAGGCATATATGAAT